TGGGCAATGGCCGTGACGCCGCCCCACATAAACCGATTTCAACTCAATTTGGTCCCTGACATTGCTCTGATATTTTTATGTTATAGTGCGAAATTGACCTAAACCGAGCTACCATCACGGCTACTTTCCACATTGTAAAATTTTCAATTCCATTTAATTCTTTCACTTTTCAGTATAAAAATCAAGAAGGAATTGGTATATCAGGACAAAACTTTGCACTAATAATGTATTTCAAGTGTGCCGACTTATGATTAAATCGATCCAAAACTATTTAATCCCCCAGGTGGAATCGAATATGTGGACCTCAGTTTGATTTCATTTTTTTTTGTATCAGAACTACAACAATCGAATTTCAAAAAGCAAATAAAAGAATTTCCTTAAAAAGTTAAATTATGTAAGTCATCCTCTTTCAAAGCGTATCACTTGTTTAAGTAAGTCCAATAATTGTGTCTGTTTGATAAGTATTATATTAATATAAGTTCCACAAGCTTACTTTCATCTATTCAATGCCTTGGGAATTTACCGTTATTCTTTATGCACATTAAATTCGCAATGAACTGGAACAAATGTGGCATGGAGTAATCTAATTGTGTTTTATGTATGTTTTTACTGTTATCTGTTGTTGGCGTAGCAGCAGGCGAGTAGCCAAATCACGTCTGTCTCATAAAATTTATTATTCGGTTTCGGATTTGGCTTATTGCGCCCATAAATGGTGTGAATGCTATCAGTTTTTCAAGCATTTCTAGCCGTTTGAAAAGACCGTACGGCAAATTTAACAAAAATTCAGGCGACTGTGAAGTGATAAGTACTCTTTGGTGAGTGTTAAACACACTTACTTAGTAAAGGTTTAATACTAGGCAATACTTATCACATACTCATGTATGCTAAAAACATTGGCAAAGTGCGGGCATTTTTAGATAGATAAATCTAAATAAACAGCAGTTTTATAATTTTAATTACTACCCCCTCCTGTACATTAAGATATCTCAATGTATATATATATATATATATTACATGTATATGTCACCTGGTCTACGAAAAGGGACCTAACGTGCGAAAACTAGTTTTCTGGGAAACAGCTGTTAAAAATCTTATCTTCCATCCCAATCAACTAAAAAGTGAAAAATGATTTTTTGGATTTTTTGACACCTAAGCCCCCTTTCCGTAGACCAGGTCACATATATATATTATATGTATTTATGTAATTAATAACTTTGCAATAAATCTCTGTTAAATCCTTTAAAGTTTTTACATATTTTGCTACATTATTTTTCAAACTCAATATCCTATCAAATATATAAAAAATTTCCGTACAAAGAATATCAATTTGCCATGCCTGCCTTCTGTTGTAAAAGCAAAATATATGTTTAAGAATTCGGGGAAAAATAGCTCTAATAATTTTGCTACAATGCTAAATAAATAACTTTTTTCCATTACATATCATTAAACAGTCTTTACCAAAAGGCATACACACATATTTAGCTGGCTCTAATTTATACGCTGTTTTTACAGAATTTCAATTTTCCTAAAATCCGTTAATTAATTTACGCAAATAAATTATTACTAACGGTCGCATACTCACATCAAATTATTTAAATAAAATGCAACATAAAACATTGCTGACAAACACTTGTAACCGCCTAAATGTATGCTAAGCAATTCTTTATTTTGTGTCTAAGTTGAGTGTTGTTTCGAAATGATTGCACACATTAATTTCATGCACTATTTTTGTGAAAAAATTGTTTGCCACAAAAGTGCAACATCATACTCACATTTATTGAGAATATTTACGCCAGTGCAAAAGCCTTTTAGACAGTAAAAAGTGAAAGAAATAAATCATGGTAGGCTGAAAGTCATTTAAAACGAAAAACAAAAATGCCCTTACCCCGCCTCTACAATATAGTATCAACAAAATAATATATAATATACTTTATATTAATATATATATAGATCATTATTTGAATAWTTTTTTCTGTCGTATATAAAAATTGTATGATTTAGGCAAACCCAATTTTGAACTCTAGAACTTCTCAAACAAAAAATACCAATTAGGTCAAATTTTGTACCTGATCTTCGCGAAAAAGATGGGCTTGAGAATATGAAAAACCGTTCCGTTGCGATTTCGATAACTTCTAGATAAAGAGTGAGTGAACCTCATGCATCGACGAATCGCTTTGAGCCTCACACAAATCTGTTGAGGCTAGCAATTTTCGATTTGGCCGTTTGATTGTAGGCTTGATAATCAAGATGTTTTAATCGCAATCCAGCGAAAACTGAACAAATGAGGAGAAAGTGTGAAGATGACTTTCTTGTCCTTTTTCAGTTTCTTTAAAAATTGATATTCTATAACATTTTTACTCTCACCGTTTGCTTATAGGATAATATATGCTTTGGACTTGCAAATACTCGCTGTATATATGGGAAAAGAAATTTAGTCGACTATTTATTTCACTGCTGGGTGTACCAGTATCTGAAGGCAATGACCAAATGTGCTTACAACTAATTTAATTACTCAGCGATGGTTTTGGAGTAAACCAAACAAAAGGTTGCTCGAAGGATCTTAATATATGTATATGTACATATGTATGCATATACAATTGTATTTATTGCATATATTCGTGCTCATCACACAGCTGTGTCAAACTGTGGCTGTAAATGACATGAAAATGTCACTTGATATCAAATGGTATTGTGACCACATTGTAATTTTCCAAATTACGCAACAATAATTAGCTGGGACTTTGTTCGAGAGATTTGACAATTTAAGGCCCTTTGAAATTTAACTGGTTGGGTTCAGATGCAATATTTTGTTTGCTTTACTTGTTCAGTGTTAAACTGGGGTGACTCATTATCCTTTTTGAGGTTAGGCCGGTTTTGACCATTTTCTTTTTATTTCGAAAAGATGCGTATGCATATATTTACTTACTTACCAAAAAAAGTTCATTCTGTGGGTATTTCATTAACATTGCGGTTTTTTTTGTTAACAGAACAAACAAGAAGCAATGGAAAACATGTAAGGAAAGGTTAAGTCAACTTGCAGAGGTCAAAGTCAGGGAAATTCCTTCAGGTGCTGCAAAATTTTGTATTAAGTATCGTTTACATTTTATGTATTTATCCTAATATCACATACCATTAACATGCCACATACTAAACAATGTTATCTTGGTTTTATGAAGCACCTAACATACCATCCACAATAATACGGATGTTCGAAAATCTTGATATTAGTTATATTTATAGCTATAGATGGGGGCTAGGGCATGTTTTCGTCAAATTTTATATATTTTTGGCACAAAGATACACTGCTAAGAGAAAACTCTCCCTCATTTTCATTGTGATAACTCATATATTGTGCGGTATAAAGTCACCGGGAAGTACGAAAATGTTTATATCAGGTACATGGGAGCTCAGGGAAATATTGAAGGCATTAAAGGCAATAATTTTTTTATCCTTCGATTCACTAATAATAATTAAACTTCTGCTTTTTTTAATTTTTTATCTCTCTTGATGTATCAATAACTGTGTATACTATAACTAAATACATATGTATATCGGAAACTTTACAGCTTAATATTGCTAATAACCATCATAGATATATTACTAACAGAATTTAGCAAATATATGTACTTTAATAATACATTTTTTCCAATGAAGTACTTTAATATACAATTTACTTATACAAAAATATATAGATATTTACTCATAAATATTTATCTCCGCAATAATATTTCACTGCTGCAAAAAAGTTGTATGCTCAACTTGACATGCCATTTTAACTAGACCACTGAAGTTTGCGATTTAAATTCCCCGAACATGTGTTAATTAATTACATAATTATTAAAGGTGTCATGCGCACATCATATTATTCAATTAAAATTGAGCAAAAACCCCGTCGAGAGTTGTAAATGCAGTTATCACTTTAAATCGCCTAAATATATGCTATGTATTTCTACACTTTGTCTATAGCCAACTTGGATGTGTGCAAGGTTTCGAATACATACACGTAACAGTTCAACTGAAAAGTTTCCGGGCTACCATTGTAAACACACACTCTTTTGACAAAAATCGTTTCGTTTTTTATTACCCATTTTTACAATAACAAAAGCTACTTTTCACAAAATTAACAAAGTAATGGTCCGACAAGCGTCAAATATATTCGTGCCATTTCAAGACTAGGGTTAACTAGAGATCATATGGATTCAATTATAATAGCGCCATCTATGTGTCAGAGCGTGTACTTTTCAATTGAACTGCTATTCATTTGGTGTTGTATTGCAGTGAAACCACAATTTAACAAGAATTTTACAACATTAAGTATTTATTCATTTACAGCAAATTTTTTTAGACATCTATTGAATAAAAACTTGTTCAGATCTGCCATTTCAAATAAAGTTTTGTTATTGATTTTTTGTATTATACTTTATCTGAAAGTGTTAAACAAAGCTAACAACATTTTATCAGTTGAAATTTCAAAATAAATACCAAACAAGACTATTTATCAACTGAAGGTAAAGGTAAAGATCATACGGCATCTTTCGTGTAAAATTTAATGGTTTCCTTTACCTGACTTTGCCGAAGATGAACCAAGTTGGTTGCTTTAGCATCAGTTGCTTATGAGATATATATATGAGTATACTGAACCTATTAGGTAGATACATACTGATCAAATTGATATATATATATAATATATGTATATAATTATGAAATATGATTTGTGTTGTGGTTTTGTAAAACTTCCATTATACATATTAGTGTGTGGTCTTTTCGAACTCGCGTACAAGAGAACTGTACTAAACAGATATTATTTTTGATTTTTCATATTTCTGAGTAGTTAAGAAATTTGCAAAAAGTAATCATATGAACGCTATAACAAAGTTAAACAGTTGGAACATATTTCTTTCCTTTTTACGATTTGCTGCGCCACATTTCAATTAGTTGCGTCAATAATAAAATAAATAAAATTTGCTTTGAGGCTTAAAAGTCAGTGCCACTTAGCAAATCATTCTCATTGTCTCGTTCAATCTAACAACAATATGTCGTTTACTATTGCACCAACTTTGTTTTTGGTCCTTGAACTCATGGGAATGCTGTTAATTCAGCAATCAGTGGTAAACTAATATATTTGAAGTAATTAAAATTATATTTTTTATAACATTTTGTTCGATTTTTTTATAAGGGCGAAGTGTGCGGTTTTCGAATGTCAAACAAATGCTTATATTAGTAAGATCCATGTGATTGTTTTACTATTAAAATAAATGTTTCAGCGGATAATGTTATTATTTTTTTGTTTTTGATTGAAATGGCAACAAGTTTAAGGTTACAGGAAAAGGTGACGCATTTTTTAGTCCAACATTCAACAAAGAGAGCGGAAAAGTTTTAAATCATAATTCAGTACTATAGTACAAGTATGGTAACCTATTTATCTCAAAAATTATAATCGCTTTATTTTGACGAAAATAAATAAAGCAAATTTGACGAAAAACTCACGGAGAATCAATGCGCTGTGCGACGGTGCATTATCGTGGTGCACAAATCACTAATTTCGCCCATTTTTAATCGTTATATTCATCGTTGATTACCAAGCACCAGTTCCATTATTTTACTGACGCGTTGATCATCAGCTGATGTTGATGACCGTGCCCTGAATGTGGTTCGTCGTCAACGTGTTCTCGACACGCTTTGAATCATTTGTACCAAGCAAAACCATTTACTCGCGACAAACAATTATCACCGTAAGCTTTTTCCAACATTCTTAACGTTTCGGATCCAGAAATTTGATTCCGCACACAAAATTTAATGGAACTACTTTGTTGAATAACTCCCACCATCTTAAAAATCATAAAATGCATTTTATATCTTTCATAAAGACAAACGTATACTAAACACTAGTGATTATATTGATGTGGCCTTTGGCACAGATGTCACTGACAATTATACCAACCTACAAAAATAATGTCAAATACAATGTATTAAAAAGTGTTACTATTTTTTGCTCAAAGCAGTACAAACAAAGCGCTATTATTTGCATAAAATTTCTCGAAGCCCCCCTTGCACAAATATATTTAATGCAAAATTAGTTTCGGTTTGCCACGCCATTTAGAAATTCGTTGCACCAATGAAAATAAATAAGAAAATTACTATCATTTTATATAAATATAAGTACAGGTTTTAAAATCAATACTACTTGGCAAATAGTTTCATTCAACAACAATATGACGCTTACTATAGCAACACCTTTGCTTTTATTACTTGGACTCATAGGAATGCTGTTAATTCAGCAATCTGTGGTAAAATGATATTGTTAAAGCGCTTGTAATTATGTTTTTATAACATTTTAGTCTAATTTCTGGCAGGCTGAAAATTGCCGAGGGAAAGATTGGGACCCGTCGTGCAAGATATAATTTGGGAGCAGCTGCTCACATGAAGAATTTTTAAACAAAACCATTTGTGTCAAAATGAATATTTTACTAAAAAAAAATGTCTACTGGTTACTATAATTTAAAAATAAAACTATTTCAAATGTATTTAGGGTGGTAGTTAATTAAAAAAAAAAAAAAAAAATTTCCCGTAATTGTTTTATGGTAATTTCATTGGTTTTAGATTACCAAAATGGCTAATAATATTTGGTCTTGTTTGATTTATTATGTTATTATTTTTTTTCATTATTGACTTTTTGTTTGTTTTGTAGTAAATATTTACATACTACTGTGATTAAATTAAAAGGTGAATATTTAATTTATACTTCTGTAAGGTGGTAGTACTGTTAGTGACATCTATGCTTAATTTCACACCAAAATATTCATTCGTATGTGAGATACGCGTCGTTTTGTGAGGCTCTAAAAGTGAATTCTCCAATTTTTACTATATCTGAATTTATTGCACAAAGAAGTGCGATAATGCACCATCTCATACTGTATTGCTTATTCGTGATCATTTACTAATATCGTGCCGCAATCCAGCAAACTCAAAAGACCACTCCGAGGACACTGTTTTGACTCAATTGAGGATATAAAAGCTGAATCGAGGAAGGCTCTGATGACCATCACGACGGATGATTTTTCCAAGTGCTATGATGTAAGGAAAATTTGTTGGCAGAAGTGTATTGCAGCGGGAGGGGATTACTTTGAAGGAAATGAAATGGAAAAATTCATCTTTCAATTTGATCACAGTAGTATCTTCAGCTATAAGTAAAATGTATTGATATACATATATTAAGTGAAATATCTACATACACATTTGTGTACGCGTAACAGAAGAAATATTACTACTAATTGATTTCCATTCAATCTAATTTCCTATATAATGGGTTTAACCAATCATTGAATTGGAATTGTCGACGCTTTATTCTATATAAAACATTTTTGTAGTAAAATCAGAATTTTTGTAATATTATTGAGATGAAAACTTTCTTTGGTATACCGATTTATATTGAGTCATGGCCTCGAATTAAGCGTTTAACTAAAAGTACAAATTTACTTATAAATATATGAGTATGGAATAATATTTCTCCACAGAAAAAACATGATGCCTAATTAGACAATTGACATTTGCGTTTAATTAATTGTGTAATTACTAAAGGTGTCATGCACACATGAAATTATTTACTTAAAAAGGTTTAAAAAATAGAAAATGTAATTATCACTTTTAAAAATCCAAGTACATGCGATGTATTTTTACACTTTGTCTCTGGTCCATTTTATCTGCTTTTTAAATTTTCAGAATCAACACAAAACAGTCAATGAAGGATAAGTTCGGGTACAGCATGACTATTCAATATCCTCGAATCAAAGTCGGTTTAATATTTTCGGGTGTTAGCACTTGGACATTTGAAACAGCGGTCCTTTGTGATGCCATGCTGTGCGCAAACTGATATTGCATAACGGTCATGTGATCTATCATGAGATTGAGACAACTAGGGGCATTAGTTGTACTAGCATACATTCAATGTTTCATAAAAATTTTGCTGTAAAAAAATTTGTTCACGTTGGGTTTTACACAATTTATCAAACGCTCAGAAAAAAAAAAAAGGCTTGGACCAATTGGTTGAAAGAAATGTTAACAAAATGCGATAGCGATGCCTCGGAACACGTTTATGATGTCGTGACAGGTGACGATGGATCGAAGATTTACGCGTATGAGCCCGAAAGTAAATAACAGTCGATTGTATGGGTGTTTCAAGATGAGCCGAATTCAATAAAATTTATTCGCGCCCGAAGTCGTACCAAGCAAATGGTTGCCTGTTTTTCCGAAAAACACTGTAACAATGCAGAACAGTAAATTTTAAGTGATATCCGTGAAGTTTGCCAGTAGTATTTCAAGAAATCAGGAAACCCAAACGGCGAAGACGGATCACTCTTCGCAATGATAATGCGAGCTCTCAAGCATCGAATAAAAGAACTGTCCTGGCTTGGCAACGAATGACTGCTGTTTATTCCCGTTCGTAAAAAATAAACTAAGAGTTCAACGTTTCTCGACACCTGAACAGGCGGTTGATGCGTTCAAATGGCTTGTTTTGAGGATACCGCAGTCTGAATGGCAAAAGTACTTCGACAATAGATTCAAACGCATGTAAATGAGTAGAGATCTTAACGGAGAATATTTTGAAAAACAGTAAAGGGATTTTCGATGTTTAAAAATGGTTTTTGTTCTCGAATCCTTAAATATACAAGTAAAAGACAACCTATACGTGTAATCAGTAAACTAGATAAAATTTCCCACACATTACTATCACAGACCTTTAGGGGCGTGGGAATAGTTACATCGGAATTTTCTAAATCATAATTCATAAGATAAACACAAAATCCGAAAGTAAATTCTTTTATAACTGGGTTAACAAAAAAATCGATTTCATATATAAAATTATTTTTATTTTTTATTGGGAGAAAAAAATCTCTTGATATTGCGTGAAAAGTAACTAAATTGCGATATGGCCGCATCAAATTTCCCTTACAAACACTTAATGCAATATTAGTTGCGGTTTGCCACGCCATTTCCAAATTACTAACGCCAATAAAAATTATCAAGGAAATTATTTTTGATTTTATATAAATATATGCACAGGTTTCAAAATCTATATTACTTGGCGAATAGTCTCATTTAAACTATCAACAACATGGCATATACTATAGCAACACCTTTGCTTTTATTACTTGGACTCATAGACATGCTGTTCTTTCAGCAATCTGTGGTTAGCATGTTTGAACTAAAAATTTAACTATAAACACAATTTTAAATTAAATTTGTTATTCTATTCTACACAAGGCCTGTAATTTTGAGGAGGACCCGTCGTGCGGAATATAACATTTGAGTTTCTAACAGCTGCTCATATAATAAGTATTAATCCGAAGTACATTCGTTTGTGCAAAGTGGCTGTTTTACTAAAAATAAATATTTTTGTTGCGAATGTTAGATTTTTCGATATAAACATTTCAGGCCAATCTATGGATATAAAGCGATACACAGATAGAATTGTACTGGCTTCAGGTTTGCCAACCATGTCTTCTCAACAGTAAATGCAATAGAAGACGGCACACCCTGTATATATGTGCTGAAACTGAAATGCATAAATTTCAATAAATTCAAAGTATGTGGCACAGCACATTGCAGAAACGCTTTATTTTTACGATTATTTACAAAATGAGCTATAAACTGAAGTTGTTTGCTATAAAATCTGCCAACACATCGTCACGTGTAATGGCTAAGTGTATGTGTGTGAATGTATGTATATGAATGTGCATATCCATTTCATGCAGTAGGCAGGTTGGCAAGTGCGTATGCATGCATGTGCGTATATGACGGCATTTATGTACTTTCACATAATTTTCTAAAAAAGTTCAGTTTAATTAATGCGAACTTTGCGAACTGAAAAAAGTTGAGCAATACTACAGCAGGCTAGGCTAAGTTATTATCATATAATAGGATAAAGATCGAGTAAATCGAACTTGTTTTCGGCCAACATGAAAAGCAGCAACTCAAAATGATGAGCTATATATTATATTTAAGATTCTCTTTGAATTTGAATATAAACAATAAACTCTTTGAAGCAAATTGATCAATGAAAGAAATGTTTAATAAAAATCATACTAGCACCTTTTTCTGCTCAATTTTATTGTTATGGTAATATGCTGTACAACTTATAAAATCCCTTAATATGTGATCATTGAGGAAACAACCTGTAAATATGTGAGTAAATAACTTCCTACGTGTCATTGTACCGTAATAGCATCATGTATATGTGCATATACTAAGTATATACATACGTGTTCATATTTAAGTGTAAGTACAGATATTTGCTCCATTGCATCTTGAAACGTTTTCAGAGCTTTGCTAGTAGGGTTGTGTGCAAGTGCAAGTCACAAGAAAGCGGAAACTGCACTCACCTGCAATGGTGGAGCATACGAGAGGGGTTCCATAAGTACATAGTTAAAATCGAAAACGGCTACTACGCAGAAAGACGTGACAGTAGTCTACGATATCTTATTGGCCGGTTGAAAAAGCGGAGGAAAGCTAAGACAGTATGTAACAGAAAACAGAATAATTCATATTTTACATGTAATATTGAGTGCGAGAGAGATGTCGGCACACTTGCTTACTCTAAACGATAGCGCAACCTTGAGACCACTTCACAGCAGTGCCTGACTTTGAGTAAATGCAAGCCGTGGGGGGTTCGGGAACATTAAATGAGCGTTGACGCCACTGGAACACACCAGGGTAAAACAGTGGTCTTCATTCCGCGATCTTGCTGCGAAGCTAGCCCAAAAGCTTTGACTATCACCGCTGGGATTCACAAGATCTGGTCTACATCGATTACCTAGAATATTGCGTCGATTATACGGTGAATTGCAGAAAAATCGCCCTTTTATTGAAGAAAAATTGCGTTTACATCATTACAACTCTCCAATTTACTTACATCTCAAAACTGGTTGAAATAGCCTACAAATTGCTACCTGATGCATTGTATGATCCAGACTTGCCCTCTGACCTAAATACATATATCTATTTCTAAACTTAAAGACTTCCACAAAACTTGTTTTTATATGATTAAGGTTTTTTCAGCCTTTTTTCAAAAGTTTTTTCTAATTTAAAGAATTAAATATTTTATTACATTTTGCGCTATTAAAAGAAATTCCAAAATTTTTCTAAAAAAATATTTTAAACTCGGCGCGTCGCAAACCATTTCCGGTAACCCCTCGGAAAAAGGATGTGCGCGCGTTGGTAGGATAACACCTTACAGGATCATCTAAAGTGAAAAAATTACGTGCTTTAGTTAAAATCTTAACTCAAAACTTGGGCGAAGAAAAAAAAAACTGAAAATAGGGTCTTTGGCAGACATTTTTATAAAAAAATTAAAATTTCAGTAAAAATTTCGCGACAATTTTTATCTCAAATAGTTATAATCGAAAAAACATCCAATCCAATCATCCAAGTCTTTAACAATAGTATCTCAAAGACCTGTGTAAAATTTCATGAATATCCGCTGGGTAGTTCTCGAGAAATCTTGCCAAACGACTTCAAAAAACAGTAATACCAGTACCTCTAAGAAGCTGGATCATCGCTTTATCGAACTAACTGAGACTAACACATCATTTTGTGTTGCCTAAATACTTATCGCACCGCCCTTATTGCGAATTTATAGCGCAATGTTGTTAAGGGATATTATTTTTTTTATAATGCTGTAAATATCTTATGTCATAAACTTAAAAGTTTGTATTACATTATTTTTTGAGCTTACTGCGCTCACAGAGAAAGCACACTAAGAGATGGAATTAAACATTAAATTTTGTAATTGAATAAACATTTATAAAAAACTGGTAATATTATAAATATGATTGTTATTAATAATCTTAAGATAGATGTTGGAAATTGTAAACGTGTGGTAAAATTCGGTATTATTTAGTTCTCTTTTCTTTTCAAAAACGAAAACCGGCAAATATGATGAATTTACAAAAATTAATTTGAACTTTTTTAGCTAAAACAAATGGTTAGACTCGCAACACATGTCAAAAGCAAAAATAATCAAACCCTTTTTGGAACTGACAAAGTGATGCATCACTTCAATATACGAACAGCGGCGATTATCAAAAGCAAAATTGCAAAATGCTGATACGCATAGGCGGGTGTCTTCTATCTAACTATTCAAATGTGTGCATGTCTACTCAAACTGAAAGTAGTGCTTTGCATATCCTTTTCCTGAAATCATTCCAAATCCATACATTAGCCACCTGCTACGCGTATTAAGTTCAATTGTTGGGCACTCTATTTTGCCAACTAAATTTATACAAGTTCTGATTCTGCTTCACCACTCACCTTATACATACAGACTTATATGCAACGGAAACTATATACATATGTATGTATATGTAAGAACGTTAGCTTACATATCGAACCAAGTGAGAGATTGCACCCATTAAACGATTGAATTTGAATAATTTATGCCAACAAGAGGATTTCGGCAAGGCCATAAATCACGGTAAACATGTTAGATGCTCGTCGTATGTGTTCCTAAGGGTTTACCTGACGCAAACGGAAAATCGATGTGTTCGAATCATGACTGCTGAGTTGGCCCTCGTTAAGAATTTTGTGTGAAATAATTTTTTTTTTTATTTTTGTTTGCCACTTGTAAAACAGTGAATATAACTGTAAAATATACAGAATTACGCATTCGTAAGGAAAACAAAAAAGAATTTGATGTAAGTTTAAGTTATTTTATTCGAACTTTGTTATCGTGCTGGTAAGTTTTTACGCTTAAATGCCTTACACAACATTTGGGTTTTATAATTTTGTTCGGTTAACAGTTGTTTGTAACATAAGACAGGTGCCATACGTCAGTGCATACGTGTGTAACGTTTTTTAGATAACATTAGCATATAAAACAGCAATGCCATCCATGCAAGGACATGAAACTAGATGGAACGATAATAGGTTGCCGCTTTGCGTGCTTGGCTGATATCGAACTAGTCAAAATAAAACTAATTTACAACCAGATCTTCCGCATTGAAATTTAACAGTTACGAAAAAGACAAGATCATACTGCGCAGAGGACCATAAATCTTTCGCAGAATCTTTCTCTCGAAATTTCGCTACGGCGACTCATCAGATGTTGTCATCGTCCATTCTTCTGCGCCATATAGCAGGATGGGAATAATGAGCGACTTATAGAGTTTGGTTTTCAGTCCGTAGGAGCACCTGTTGGCAAGAGTTATTCTGCGTTGGATTTCGAGGCTGAAATTGTTGCTGATGTTCATACTGGTTCCAAGTTAGACTAAATTATCTACGACTTCAAAATTATGACTGTCAATAGTGACGTGGGAGCCACGACGACTGTTTGTTTGATAACAGGAAACGTTTCGTCTTGCCTTCGTTCACTACCAAACTTATTTGTTTGTGACATTTCCTTATCCAGACTGGAGAAAGCAGTACTAAAGACGAGGTTGTTGAGGCCAATGATATCAATATCATTGGCGTACGTCAGCAGCTGTACGGATACACTCTTATAAAATATTTTAACTTCTCGATTAAGCTCTGCAGCTCGAATAATTTTCTCTAGCAGTAGGTTGAAGAAGGCGCACGATAGGGAGTCGCCTTGTCTGAAACCTCGTTTGATATCGAACAGCTTTCCGATTTGGTATAGGCAGCTTTTTTTGCTTGCTCCACCAATCTCCTTGAATTCAAATAATACTAGGTTTGGTTCAGAAATGACCTGGTACTAGTAACAGACTGGTATTTTCGGACGGAAATGTGAATGTTGTAGAACATGTAGTATGGAATAAACTCGGCACTACATACTAGTTGCAACGTAGTAATTTTACTTTAGTACTAAAATGTTTCTAAATACAAATATACAAAACACTACTAATACATCTACATATGTGCTTTCACATACGCATATATTTTGATTAGTAAAAATGCAGACCAAAGCTTTATCTTAATACCGAATAACCATTCAATGCTGTGATTCGACATTTGCTCATTTTGTTTTTGTATATTCAGGTAACTTTTGATTAACCCAAACATTTCTCTTCAATATTCCCCCCTCGAGAACAAACGAAAGTGAATTACTTTCATGCATTTGTAGTTTATTTATCTATTTGGAAAAAAAACAAAACTGTTCCATGAAAAGGAGCACAATAATCACGAAGCAAACTTTGCGCAATATTGCACAATAATATTGGTTAAAGTATTACAGTTAGATATTTTTTGAGTTTGTCAATGGCTGCGGTGAAAAGAAAATTTAATCTCAAATTATTTCACTTTTCGTGTTAGGTCATGTTGTCCGAATGGATGAAAACACTCCAGCTCTGAAAGTATTCGACGCAGGACCCGCCGGGTCAAGCAGAGGAAGAGGAGACCTCCACTCCGTTGGAAGGACCAGGTGGAGAAGGACCTGGCTACGCTTGGAATATCCAATT